ATTTTTTAGCAAAAAATATGAATAAGTAAGAACTAATACCATCATAAACTCGAAGCCCGTAAGGCGGTAGTCTCGACAGAGAGTCTTGTAATATTCTATAGTCATTTGTTGCTCCCTCCTACGCAGCTAGGACACAGGTGAATAGTTTATTGGGGGTGCAGACTACTAGGACGTTTTGTGTCACATCTTTTCGCCCTCTAAAACGTGCAACTAGGTTACTGGGTAACACTGCATTAACGTGTGTGCCATCTATCAAACCAATGCAATCCTATAAAAAAGTTATAAGTTATATAATATTCAATAAAATAGTTATTTATTTAAAACAGATGTTGAGGTGTATGTATTGTTTTTACCTTAAAGTAAGGAAAATAAATTGGGTTGTTTGTAATCTCCGCAGGAACTTCATTTGGAGCTTGCTTTATGTAGCGATCACGTAACACATTCATTGCTTGTAGGACTTTATTGAAATACCTACTAACTGTTTCTCCCGATCTTATGAACTCAGTCCTTATTATTCTATTTTTAGTTTTATGACCCACTATACTTAGGAACATAGTGAGCTGTTCTTCAACTTGAACATGTATTGTATCCTTTAGTAAATCGTTTGCTTTCATAACTTCAGCAAGTTTAAAAAAGCCCCTCGGTCTCATTTTAATATAAGACCGACAACTATCGCTATAGCCTTCCACTACATGAGCAAAGTGAGCTTCTCTGCAATATTTTTTTGATCTTTTCTTCCTTCGTACAAGTTGAAATTGTCTTACGCTTAGCACGTATTCTCAGAATACAAGTTATTATCATGACCACGGCAAAAACAGTTCTATTTGCACACATCCTCTTCAATTGTTCTTCATCTACGTTATCCATCTACATCCATTGTGAAATTAGCATACATTTACAACTTAATATTTCTACTTACATGAAAATCAAAAATAATTACTTAACTAATAAAGATATTAATATCTTAAAACAAGATATCTAAATATATATTGACCAAAAAAAAAGATATCTAAATATATAGAAATCTATTTCTAGTATATTGCCTCATCTATTTCACAAGCTGTTCAAACAAATAAAAACAAGGGTTCAGTCCACGGGTTTAATCATTTGAAGGTTGTATTAAATAAATATTCTAGGGAACCGAAAATCATTATTCAACTAATAACAAAACTCTAGATTAATAAGAGATTATACATGTAATAAATTGTCAAAACCAGCACATTCTACTGCCCATGTTCATTCCATCTGCACAAGCACAGAGAAACGATAATAAAAAAGGCTTAAAGTGTTATACCTTTAGCTGCCAAGGAGATAAAATCGAAGCAACAAGCCCACCGAAGCCAACAAAATCACCCAGCCCACCGACAGAACCGAAAGCCAACAACTGAATAACAAGTTCGAGAAGGGATTACCAACAAACCCTTTTGAATGCCAACAAACTCACTGAAGCCAACAAGACCACCGAACCCACCAACATAAAACAAAGCCAAAACCGAATAACAAGTTCGAGATGGATCACCGACAAATGCTACGAAACCAACAAGACCACCAAACCCACTAACAGAAATCAAAGCCAACAACCGAATAACAGCTCGAGAAGAGGCGCGAAGAGGTTTGAGAAAAGGCGGGAGAAGATTAGGTGGAGAAGTCGAAGCCAACAAACACACCGATTAACACCGACGAAAAGCCTGAATCCATCTATCGCTCACCCCCTCGTCTTCGAAATAGCAATCGAAGAACCGCGAGAGAAGAGGCGCGAAGAGGATGTAGAAGAGGCGGGAGCTCAACCAGATCTAGGGTTTGTGGTGAAGAGGCGGAATCCGAAATGGGGTGAGAAAGAGAATTTATGACCGCTTGTCAGCTTTTTGGCCAAATTCCTACCAAATGAGTAGGAATTCGGTTTCTATAAAATCTCTATACTATTGCAACTTTACAGATTTCGAAATATATAAATTTTTTTGAACCAAACTCAAGATTAGGAATCATTTGGAATCCTTTAATTACAATTTTTCCACTGTCAGCTCCAAATGCTATTTTTTTCCATAAAATGAGTGAAACAAGCAGCCCCTTATATTATAAAGCTCACTGAAGGTCTCAATCAAGTGCAAGTTGCTTTTTGCAAAGCTTCTTATATTGGTCTATCATTGTATTCATATGCATGATAATGACCTTCTGATTAACATCTTTTTCAGGTAGCTCATATTCAATGGAGTCTCCCTTGAAACAAGAATATACAAATTTTCTCATGGACCCCACCTTACATCAACTTCCTCATCAAAGTCGGTTGTTACTTCATCGTTGCTTGATCACTTTCGTAACTATCTCTTTGAAGATATATATTTTCTCGTGGACCTCATCCTACATCAACTTTCGCCGTATTTCAGTGCTTTCAGAGGCAAAAAAATATCAAGGAAATAGAGGTGCCAGCTAGATGCCACGTCAGCTTTTAAAGAAGCAGCGAAAGTAATTTTTACAGATAAACAAACATAATTTTTATATGAAAGTAACAAAAATGGCCTATACTTTATCTACTTCATAGCTATTTTCGCGCATACAAACACACCCTTAGTTTGACTATTTTTATGCAATATAACCGATTTCGTAGATGACTGCTAGACTTTGTGTGCTTCTCCAAGTTACAGTGAGTTCTACTCCTCTTTGCACATAGACCCGTATATTTTGTTAATAGATCCTTACGTTTATCCGATGTCATTAATATGGAAGATTTTGTGCCTAAATGTTGCGCAACTTATATCTTGAAATTGGTCATGATTCAATAATAATAATAATAATAACAACAATAATAATAATAGAAGTGATAACTTCTTGATCTTTTCTACAATGTACATGACACTCTCCAGTTATCAAATCTTAAAATTTAATAAACATCGGCAATATGTCTTTTTATTGGATTTTAATTTAGGGTGTTATTCGTTTCGGACTGTAATTTGGATTTTAATTTAGGGTGTTATTGGTTTAGGAGTAGGATTTAGATTTAAATTTAATGTGTTATTAGTTTAGGAGTAGGATTCGGATTTAAATTTAATGTGTTATTGGTTTAGGACTAGGATTTGGATTTGAATTTAATGTGTTATTGATTGTCTAGGATTGTTATTAGGACTAGGATTTCAAAATCCACATTCCATTCCAACTCTATAGTTTTTTCATGATAAATTTTTAAGAGGAAGTCCAAGTTAAAATTGATGGATTGTGATGTTACTATGTGGATTTCCTCTCTCCTCTTCTCTTTACTTGTTTAAATATTTAATATATTTAATTTTATAACATTCCATATTTCTAAAGTTATTATATATTAACATTGAATGTATTTATTTTAAAACATTTTAATAAACTTCTATAAATTTATCTAATTCACTTAAAATGAAATATATTTAATTTTATTTAATCACTTAATATATTTAATATTTAATAATAACTTAGATATGTTCATTATTTAACATTTCTTAAATATATAAATAAATATTTAATACTATATTATATACATTTTGTTTGAACTGTTTACATGGATTGCAAGATGTATTTAGCTTTGTTGTTATCATCTGTTAATGGAAATGAGGGTAGTTTTTTAAATTAACATTTTTTTATTAGTGATTATTATTCAACATGATTTTTTTTGAAACTCCCGATGCAAATAATCCACGAATCTAAAATTTAGTCTGAGAATTCAACCATCAGTCTTGAATTCAAAACAAAAGTTCAAGAATCCAAACCAAAAGTTCAAGAATTCCGCTCATAAAAATTAAAATCTAATCCAAAAGTCCGGACTCTAACCATAAAATCCAAGTCTAGGTCCCAATCCAAGAATGTTGGATTTGTGAATAATTGTCCGAGTCCAAATTTAACAGTCCGAAACAAAAAGCACCCCCTTAGGGTAAATTACACCAAACCCCCAACAGCCCAACAACTATTAATGTTTCCCAGTAAACCTCCAATCACTTTAAAACTCACAATAAAGTTAGGAATATCAGAAAATTCTCAAAGCGTTCTCAAGGCTAAGAAATGTGGGGAAAATAGCATCCTTTGCATATATACTCCTCATATCATCCCTATTTGTAGATTAACCCCAAAATTTTGAAAACCATAAAATTTACCATGAAAATAACATACCTGTTCCGAAAATAAAATAAAAATTACAAAGAGCCACTTGAAGATTCAGAAATTACAAAAAAAAAAAATCTAAGTAATCTAAAATTTCAAAACCATCTGAAAAATCTAAAAATTACAAATAGATTTTTTCAAATCTAAAATCTACAACGACCCCCCTAGAAAACCAAAAAATTACAAATATGTTTTTCCTCTCTAGAAAGATCTACACGGTCTATTAGAGTGTTGCAAAGAAACATGTTTATATGTAGTTATGATTATTGACTTGTTCGTTGTTTTCTTTGAATTATGTAGTTACATGAACCACAAGTTAAAGCATATGCATATCTTCCTAAAACAAGATCTGAAGTTGTAGTCCTTCTAATGTCCCTCCCCCATTATCCCATCGACAATTAACCTTTCTGCCTCAAAAGTTAAATTTACATATTTTTTATGCTCCTACACGAACTAAGTTGTTTTCAAGCATACAATGCGATCTAATTTCTCCTTCAATAACTTATTAAATTAGAAGAAAATGTTATTAATTAATTAATAAAAGAAAAACAAAAAGTAGAAAAGAAAAAAAAAGAAGGGTGACACTAGGGGCACACCCCAACCACATCCCAAACCACACACTCTCTCATATGTTACAGTATACAGGGCCACACATGAGATTTTAAATACTCCCTCTCTCATATGCTACAGTACACCGGCCCCACATGAGATTTTATTTAAAATCTCATGTGGGGCCCGATGTATTATAGTATATGAGAGAGATTGTGTGGTTTGAGATGTGGTTGAGGTTTGCCCTGTCATTTTCCAAAAAAGAAACGTGCGCGCTTGAAACATTACCAGCCGGAGTGGTGGGTGGTGCCCACTACAAAAATATCCGCTCGCTTTGCCCTCTCGGTCTTCGCATTTTCTCCTTCCCTGTTCTCTCTCCCTTCCCCCCCGCTCTTCGTCGCTGACCTTTTTCATTTCCCGCGCTTTTTCCCGCCGAAATCGAGCCCAGATCTCACTGACGGGAGCTTCCTAGGGTTTGCTCCACCTACCTCTTCTCACGATATCTGATCAAAAATCAGGAGGTTCGATCTTTCGTACTGGAGATCGAAAGACCCCTCGATTTCAGGTTTTTTTTCTTCTTTTGATGCCTTCGTTTTCTCTTATTGCAGTTGTTTTGGGACGGAATTGTTCGATTCCGCTCTTGATTTAGGTCTTATGTAGATTTTGAGTGCTGACGTGTGGACGAGAAACACTAGTAGGAGAACTAGGGTTTTTTTTCGATTCGTCTTTTAAAGGTCCGGAAACCCTAGCCGACTTTTTTTACCTTGCAAATTTCCCCTTCTCTTTTAACCGTCCGTGAATTTGTAATTTCCCGCGCTTTTTTCACCGAGGGCGAGCACCGAATCACAATGGTAGGGAGCTTTCTAGGGTTTTCTCGACACATCTCTTCTCATGATCTCTGACCAAATCAGGTGGTTAGATCTTTTCTAGTGAAGATCGAGGAGTGAATTTGATTTCAGGTAGCCTTTTGTGTTTCTATTCTCTAATTTCACTTTTTTGGCATCGAATTGTTCGATTCCGAGCTCGACTGTGCTCCTACTTAGCTTTTGAATGTTGATGCGGGGACTGGAAACCCTAGTAAGTCGTTTTGTTTTTGGGCCGAGAAGTCTGCAAAACCCTATCTCAATTCAATTGGTTGCTTAGAGATTATCTAAAGGCTCAATGCTGAGGTTTTGTAGCTCTTCTTCTGAAGTTTAATTACCTCGCAAATTTCCCATTCTCTCTTCGTCCCTAAATTTTCATTTTGTGATTTTGAGCCCCAAATCTCATTGATGGGAGCTTTGTCGGGTTGGATCAACCAATCTCTTCTCATGATCTCTGACCAAATCAGGAGATTCAATCTTTGCTATTGGAGAACGGAAGGAGAACTTGAGCTCAAGTGCTTTTTGATATTTCCCCCTTTTTTCACTCCTTGTAGCGTCAAGTTGTTTGATTCCAAGCTTGATTTATATCTTACCAGCTTTAGAGTGCCGATGTGTAGGCCATGCACCTTAGCTGGTAGGGTTTTGATTGGTCTGACGAGGGTCTGAAACCCTGGCTAAGTTAGACTGGTTCCTTAGAGATGTAGCTAGGCTTTACATTAGAGATTGAAAAGCTTGATGCTGCGGTATTTTAATTTTTTTCTGAAATTTTGTTATTTGTTTAGGTATTTAATGGTGTAGTCATCTTCCAAGATGCACATAAAGAGGGTAAAATTCTTGTCTCCTTCCTTAATTTTGCTTTTTTTCTCTAAAATTTCTTTGTCTTTTGTGTGCGTAACGTGATTGTATTTTCATTAAGAGTTTTCTTATTGTCAATTCTTGTCAGGTTATCATTGAAGGATTTAAGAGTTACAAGGAACAAGTTGCTACAGATCCCTTTAGTCCCAAAGTTAATTGTGTTGGTACTGTTATTAGATTTCTATTTGTTTTGCTCCTCTTCAATCCTCTGAATTTGAGTAAAAATCTTGCTAGATAATAAAAATTGGTTATTTCTTCTTAAAATCAGCTCCAATTTCCCAGTTTAAAGGATTGAACCGTAGCCCTACATAATACACATATTGTCTCTCATTTGCACATGTAAAAAAAAACCCATTAATGTACGCTGGCCATCCTTCATCCTAGGCCCATGGATGACTTATAATTTTAAAGTTCAAGCCATCCTCTATTACTGTGTTACTCCTCTCCCTCCCTCCCTCTCTTTTACTAGGTGAGTCAGTTTTCATTTTTTAGATTCACTTATTTGGTTATTAAAAGTATGGATCTTCATTTGAGGTTTTAAGTATCTGGTTCTAGTCATCCAAGTATTTTAACTCAATCAGGCTTAGGTCACATTGAAAGAAATATTTACATATTCCTCTTATCCATTAGCACATGGTTTCCAATTAATTTCATAGAAGTGCATTTTGCTATGGTATTTGTTAGACATTTGGTTCATCTGAAAGTGTATCTTTTTTTAACTCATACAGGTATCTCTGTGGTAGGCTAAAATGTTCTTAGAATGTTCAGTTTATGCTAATGTATTTATGTTTCTGCAGTTGGTGCCAATGGATCTGGGAAGACAAACTTTTTCCATGGTACTTTATTCCTTATCTAAGATTTGAACAATATTTCGTTTATAGTAATTTTGTAATCAAATTTTCATGAGGTTAATTATCCACATTGCTTAAAACCCTTTCTAGCCATACGTTTTGTCCTCAGCGACCTCTTTCACAACTTGCGCAATGAAGATAGACAGGCCCTTCTCCATGTAACCATATTTTTCTTTTATTTTTCTCTTTCTTACTTATTGTTTTGTGTCTTCTGTTGACTTGGATTTTCACAATTGACAGGAAGGTGCTGGACATCAAGTTGTTTCAGCTTTTGTGGAGATAGTGTTCGACAATTCTGACAATCGTATCCCAGTAAGTTCTATTGTATCTTATTCTCAAACTTGTGCATTTAGTTGTATCTATACTTTGTAGGAAATTCACATGCATAGTATTTTGGTGTTGTAAGTACTAGTTATTATCTGTGTGATACAAAAAACTTAGTATTACAATGTTGCTGCACGCATGTTATGGTAATATTATGATTTTACAAACACCTATTCAATATGAATGTCATTTTCTCATTGGAAACAATAAAAAAAATAGTGGAAACAAACACGGCTATTAACTACTCCAAGATAAATCATCTCAATAAATAATAGTTAGGTATGGATAATGTCGTGAAGCTAGAAAGACATGGACAATAGCTGCTCTCAAGGGAAATAATTTAGGAATGACGGACACAAGGGGCAGATTTCATCAGAAAAGTGTATACACACACACTTATATTTATATTACGTGGTTTGTCTAAAGAAATTGTACACATGTTCTGTGCTTGTTGCAGGTTGATAAGGATGAGGTGCGGCTACGTCGGACAATTGGTCTGAAAAAGGATGAATATTTTTTGGATGCGAAGCATGTCACGTATGATTTTCTTATACATCTGCTATATGATACTACTTCCTTCCACCTGCCCTTTTGAAATATGCATTGTGATATTTATTATTATTATTATTATTATTATTATTTTGCAGCAAAACAGAAGTTATGAACTTGCTGGAAAGTGCTGGTTTCTCTCGGTCCAATCCTTACTATGTTGTTCAGCAAGGGAAGGTGTGTGCGTGTTCCTAGCTGGCTGATTTTGCAATTCATCCTTTCTCTTATTAAGTTGCATATATCTCTTCTAAACACTAGTCGTAATGGTGTGCAGATAGCATCTCTGACCTTAATGAAAGATTCTGAACGTCTTGATCTGCTGAAGGAGATTGGTGGGACACGTGTTTATGAGGAGAGACGGCGTGAGAGCTTGAAGATAATGCAAGAAACTGGCAAGTGCATTTTCATTGTGTAGTAAGTAACCCTGATGTATACCAATAGTGTCCTAATGGTGCCATCTGATGTGTCAAACAGAAAACAAGAGAAAGCAAATTGATCAGGTTGTTCAGTATTTGGAAGAGAGGTTAAGGGAACTGGATGAAGAAAAAGAAGAATTACGGAAATACCAGCAGCTTGACAAACAACGCCGATCACTAGAATATACCATTTTTGACAAAGAACTCCGTGATTCAAGACAGAAGATAGAGGAGGTTGTTTTATAAAGAAATTTGGGTCTTCTAGTTACCATATCAGAGTAATCATTCTAATTTCCTATGCGAGAAGCTCAACCCTAAATAGGAACATGAAGCTGTAGCTCATGAAAACTTGGAACAGGCAGTTTAGCTAAAGATATATTTGTATAACTTTTGCCACTAAATTCCCTCTAGATAACTCAGAACATTTCATTTTGGGTCTAAAGATATATTTGTATAACTTTTGCCACTAAATTCCCTCTAGATAACTCAGAACATTTCATTTTGGGTGCTGTATACGTGTTGGATACGTTTTGCCACTAAATTCCCTCTAGATAACTCAGAACATTTCATTTTGGGTGCTGTATACGTGTTGGATACGTGTCAGACACTGATTCTTAGCAGACACAACAACACGTGTGATTCAAAGTAAGACCTGATTTCTCCATTATTTATAGCCCTAAACTAGTTTCTTTTGTTATCACGCTCAAACCAATATGTTTTTGAATCCGAAAATCGAAACCATTATGTAAAGATTTGAAAAATACCTATCGTACCTCATGCAGTCAAAACTAAACTTTTGTTGTTAAACCTTAATTCGTAGTTTGATTAACTTGATTCTTAGATTCTTAATTGTTGTAGATAGTAAAAGAAGCATACAAATGTTGGGGTATTTTAATTCAATATGTATGTATTATATATATACATATACAAATGTGTGTATATCCGTGTCCCTGTATCTTGCTTTTTACCAATTTGTTGTATCCCATGTCCGTATCCGTGTACGTACCCGCACCCCTATCCCTGCAACCTAGGATTCCCTCCTTCATTAGGCAGTCTTTCCATGTGAATGGTAAGCTATGTCTTGCTACCTACTAATAGCTTTGGAGGTGGTGTTGTAGTCAGACTTCTATCATTCAAAACTAATATTGCTTTTGCAAGCAGTTTGAAGGGTGCAGTTCCTCTTAACCAGCCTTCCTGGAGTAGAATTGTATTATTAGGCAGCCCTCTTTTGCTGGACAGATTTTGTTGATGTTGTATTACTTGAAAAAGGCTAGGAGAGAGCAATTTAAAAGATGTTAGGCTATGTTACCTAGGTATTTCTAATCTGAACCTGTATGTACACATGCCTGACATGTACATGTACTCAAACTTATCGGATACCCCCTTGCATAGATGCATACATTTATTTGGGCATGTATTTAATTATACAATACATGTTTTCATTTAAAACACTTGTCATACATTTTTTGAACATACATGCTATACTTCACATACACTTCTTGAAAATCGTTAGACATATGTCAGGTCCCGAATTATGATTTTGAAGGGTCATTTCGATCTAGTGATTTTCCAATTTATAATCCACGTAATGAAAGAAACATAAAAATGTTATGGGAAATTTAATTTTCATCTTTGTTCTCATATAACTTACTAATTAAAATGTATAACATATGTGTATATAAATATTTATATAGCCGTGTCCTTGTACTCTACTTTTACAAATTTTTCATGTCCCATACCAGTAGTGGTACCCGTGCAACATTGGACACTATGGATAGGCAGGTAGAAATTTGGTGCCCCTCCTAAGAAGGATGATTCACGCTGGTGTTAGTTAAAATTAAAAGATGGAGAGGAATATAATTAGAAAAAGATGAAGGTGATGATTTTGTGGAGGAAAAGGAAAAAGAGGAATGTACTTGTTATCCGCTGTGCCTTGTGACCAAAGCTGCCTTGTTTACAAAAAGAAGCAGGTCAAGCAGCTTATTAATTTTGGGAGGAAATTAGAGGTCATACAATATTAGGAACAATACTGAATAAATACAGGAATGCTTTGAGGATTTAAGTATTTGTAAATGCATCGAAATGGAATGAAAATTGATTGTAGAGAACAGTTTGAAACAAATAATACAATCCTAAGTGTATGTTCAACTGACAGCTAGGACAAAAAAATTCATTAACTAATTTTTCGGACCAATAACATTTAAATTGGCTAAGTCCTTAATAAATAAAATAAAATAACTTGAATGTTAAGTCAGAATCTTGAATCCTCATATATGATGATAACCATAAACAATTATCAAATAGCAAATATAAATGATTATGATAAATTACTCAAAGCATGCATACATAATTTGAAACTAATGACAAAACTAATATCTAAGATTCTAAATATTGCAAATGCACATGATGTCTAATGGTCCATAGCCAGATAACACAAGTACAACATATAGATAGTATGTTATGGACACAACACAACACAAAACCAAAGAACAGAAGATGTTAAAGGATAAACATAAAATTAAGTTCAATGAGCAAGTTCCCTTGAAAAGGAAGAAAAGGGAAGAGGAAAATAGAAGGGTGGCTGTCCGCATATGAGTATCTATACAGAAGTCTTTAAGTTAAAAGAGTCAGATATAGCATCAAATTCAGGCACAATGACCACCACATATTTTTTGTGCCGCATATATCGCACATAACAACTATGTAACTGCATAATCTTTTAATACAAGGACTACTTATCTTTTCTCGCTTAATTTTTTTGGGGCTGGGACTGAAATTTTCCAATGCATGTACCGATGAGACTACATAACTGCATCTCCGATATTGGATACCACAGTTCACACTGCAAATATTGATTTTTATGAGATATGTATCCTTTATCCATTATATTCCCTCTAATAACTTCATGTCATGTCATGTTGCCTGATATCTGCTACACGGAATCCCAGGCCATCAATCTCGTATCTGCCTTTTAAAATCTTGGAGCTAAACTCTTTAAAATTTGGGGACCATTTGCAAGCATTAGTTTATATGGCAGTGCCATTCAATTTGATTCTTCATAGTACTTTGTATAGAGATGTATGAAGGTCCCTATAAGAAATCATCAAGTTTAGTACTTTAGTCTACACTGCTTCATATCATATGTATATGAGGTTTGAAACCATAACCTGAAAGGAAATGCTACGTGCTTCCCATCTTGCAGTGGAAGGTTTGACATGATGCTCGCTTGTTGTTTTGTTGGCCAAGAACTTGGCAGCACCGTGCATATTGATATGACATATTAATATGTAGTAGACTACCCTGTTTTAAAAAGCCTCCGCCTAGTCCGCCTAGGCGTAAGCGGTACCTAGGTCGCCTAACTAGCGCCTAGGCGATATCTAGGCTACTCACCTAGGTTTTGGTAGTGTTTAGGGAAGTATTGTCTGCTTATGTGGACTGCACTATGTGGACTGCACTTGTTGTAGTCTCCACGTCCTCCAACCTCCTTCAAACTCCTTTAACCTCCGAGTATGAACACCTTCACTATCTCCTCCGATCTTTAGCAAAACCTCTTCGACCACCACTTAAATGAAGAAAGAAATCTGCCTAGACACCAGTCCAGCACCTAAGCTTTCTATAACATTGATATTTACTATCAATTATTGTAATTAAAAAAAATATAAAAGAAAACTTCCTAGTCTCTAGGCATCGGGTCCAACGTTAGGCGCGATTCCTAGGCGTATGCCTAGGCGTCTAGGTGCTAGGCGCGAGGCGTATGCCTAGGCGCTAGGCAGACTAGGCTTTGCCTAGCGCTTTCTGTAACATTGGTAGACTGTTTGTTCCAAAAACTTAGTCAAAACCAGCGCGCATTAATACAATGCCAATTTGTTTCTGATGCTTTCTCTAGTGAGTCATGCTCCATGTTCTATTCCTTTTAATGGGAAAAGACGTGGGAAAATAAACTTGCAAGTCTATCTTATAAGTACAACTACTATCTTTTTTGTCATTAGTAACTACAATGCCATTCAGTTAATTGCTGCTCTCTCTCTGCCCCATGCTTCCTCCTCCCTCCTGTTGATTCTCTCAGCACAATTTCTTTTGTCCCATTAATTAGAAATATGCATCAACTACATGGGCATTTATTGTACATATTCACCTTCATTTGGGTGCTTTTTCTCTTATAGACTCTTTGCATGAACTGCAAGAAATTATAGATGTTAATTAGTAAAGTTGTGCTACCTTTTCCAAATATATATGCTATACTTGCAGTTTAAAGTTCACACACATTATTCAAGAATTAGATATAGATCTAAAACTCCATTATAAGTGAATTTGATCACTTCTTAATCATTTTTCTGATAAGGCTAGTTTGTTTCCCACTTCTTTTTGCAGATTGAAGAGGGCAGGAAAAAGGTCTCTGAGAAGTCAACCAGTATGCATAATCAAATTTTAGATGCCCATGAAAATTTTAAGCTACTGGAAAAGGAATTTAAAGTATTGACAAAAAGTATTCAAGGTTTACATAAGGACAAAGATCAGGTAGAAAAGAAACGAAATGAAGCTCTAAAAATGCGTGCACAGATTGAGCTTGATTTAAAGGACTTAGAAGAGAGGATTTCTGGGGACGCCAGGGCTAAGGTTTGTCTTATTTGATTTTTGAATATATCTATTAAAGTGGTCTGTTAAATAGATATTGCGAGAACGCCACATTCAGCCTGGTTTAATCTGTCTGCTCGCAGGAAGAAGCTGTAAAGCACTTGGCGATCCTAAAAAAAGAAATTCAGGAATCCAGAAATGAACTGAATGCAATTAGGCCTTTGCACCAGAAAAAAGTGATCGAGGAGGAGGAAATTAGCAAAAGGTATGCATCTTTGGAAATGCATGTGACACTTTAGTATGAACTACTCTTAACACTGATGTATTGTTGGTGAGGCTAATAACTCTGTTACCCTTATTTTAGTATAATGGATCGAGAAAAGCAGCTGAGTATTTTGTACCAAAAGCAAGGGCGTGCTACTCAGTTTGCTAATAAAGCTGCTCGAGATGAATGGCTTCAAAGGGAAATTGATGACCTTCAACGTATCTTGTCAGCACAGTTGACACAGGTGGTTAAATTCGCTTGTAATTTCTAATCATGTAGCTTATGGAAGTCTACACATTTAAGATCTTTTCATTTTTATTAGCTATTTGGAAAATCATATAAATGAAGCATGCCATTTAATCTGTTTCTGAAGCTTAGACATTTGGGATCACCACATTTCCTTTAGTTCTTTAGAGACTGCTACCAGTAATGTACAATTTACAGATCAGCTATTCTATTCTTTTCTGCTGAGATTTTCTGATAAAAATGGAATATGTAGGAGTATGTTAACTAACAATTTTATCACTTAATTTGTTACTTCAACCATGGCGCTAGCTTTTATGCATGAAAATCTGTCTCCACTAGCGGGAGTAAAGCTCAAATTTCACCACTGGTGGGGCCAAATATAAGTAAATATTAGCTAACAATGTTATATAACAGCAGATGATAAAAGAAAATTAAAAAAAAAAGCAAGTTACCTTGTTTAAGGAACCTTGTCTTCTGTTCAAACAATTGTGCTCACTAATTATGCAAATTGTCTTTTTTTTTAAAGTATGACCCTTTCACTTATTGACACACAAAAATACCATAGCGTTATTACTAGCCTAGCAACTAAGAAAGGCTGTAAATAATCCTTCGAAGGAAATGATCCTAATTCCCAAAATTTTTACACATGGTGCGACCAGGTAGTTATAACTTTTTTTACACCCATCTTTACTAGCTAACATTGGTTATACACATTTTTTTAACTGGGGAGCTAGATACTAGGTGTCTCTGCACATGAAGAAGGTCACATATAGGAGCTCAAAGCTTTTTCTAATTGTGGTGGGTCTATGGCCCAACCATGAACATATGTAGCTCCATTCTTATGCGTTGGAAGAAATTCATGCATAAATGCATGGTTGTCAATGTGCATCTTTTCAATATGCACACAACTATGTATTTACATTTTTCCATTTCCTCTATTATTGATTTCTTCATAGGATGTATGAGGTAGGGTTTTCCAAAGTAGGAAAGTTCCACTATTCTTTTTCTATCATATATAAAGTAGGAAAGTTCCACTATTCTTTTTCTATCATATATGACTTTCAAAAATACTGTGATAATAGTTCGAAGAGGTATTCCAGAATCTTCTACAAATACTTTATCCAAGAAGATGTTTAGGTGCTTATATGGAATTCTATTTACCTAATATCACGTTGTCTAGACGATATTTTGTGGTTTAGTCTCCAGAGTGCAGACTCAGATGATGTTCCACAAGGAAATAGATGACCACCTTCCTACATACAGAAACAATGATCTAGCATATCAGTTTCTTATGGAACCAACACCATCAAGTCCTCTTGACGCCATAAAATCAGAGTTCTCTTAACATTAGCTGTTATATTTCATCTACACGGTAAATGTATTTTTAAAATGGGATTCTTAGCTATAAAGAGCATCCATCAATAACACACTACTATAGAGCTTAATTATAACCTATTCGTCAATGGATTAGCCTGTGAGTCCTTGGTATAGACCAAGTCTCTCTATATGTTCTATTTGGTTTCTGTTTTAGTTCTTTAATGCTCTTGTATGTGCATTGATTGGACGACTACTGATCTTTTCGGTTCTATAAATTGGAGATTTTTTTTGAGGCTTGATCCTTGGGTCTTCTGAGCTTAAATTGGATGATCGATAAGCTGTATTCAGTCTGTTAACTAGCCTTGAGATTTTATGGCAAGCTCTTCTCTAGCAAATGTTTTGTCATGCTTTGAGTATTACATTATCTCAGAGGATCAAAGTCAGGCCAGCATCTTTTTTGGTGCCTTCCAAACTAGATTGTGCCCCATGGTAAGATTATGCAACCAATGACTGATGATGAGTTTCTGTTTAATACATACTTTCATGCATGCATATTGCCTATAGGCATGCATGTAAAAGTAACACCTTGGCATTCATGCACACGAAGGTGCAAGAAATTTAAAAGGAACACATAGAATGGAGTCGTCATGCATAAAAAGAAACATAAAGCTTATTCATAATATTGTAAGTTTGCAATAACTAACCAGGTCTGGAATTCTGTGCTTTTGGATGTTAGTTTCCAGCATTGCACTTTAATAAGCATTTAATGACAGTTGTTCAATGTTAAGCTAATCCCCTTAATGGATTTTTATTGATGCTATTGTTTCTCTTATTTTGTTCTAGGAAAAGAAGCTCCAAGTTGAAATCCAACAGCTTAAAGATGAAGAAAGTAACATGGATGCATTCATAAAAGAGCGAAAAGTTGAATCAGAGAGGCAAGAAGCACTTATATCCAAGGGGCAAGACGATTTTAGTAGTTTAAGAAGACAAAGAGATAAACTGCAAGACGAGCGAAAGTAAGTCTTTATAAGAAGCTAAAGTTTCTCAACTATATGCAGGAGCTCCTTTGGTATATTTTTATAGTTTAATTGTCTTTCAGGTCACTGTGGAAGAAAGAAGGGGACCTCTCTGCTGAAATTGATAGGTTAAGATCAGATCTTGTAAAGGCACAAAAGAGTTTAGACCATGCTACACCTGGTGTGAGTATACATATCTTTTCTTTTACCTGTTATGTGCAAGGCAGAGTTAATTGAATAGATAGAACATGTGAATGTGATTGTTTTGACTATTGCTAAAGAACATCCTTCCATCTTCTTGTTGTCTAACTATCTCTCAGTTTGTCCAATTTACTTATTGGCTGCTGAGGCTAATATATCCGACTTGTTCTTGATCCACAAAAGTGTTGCCAGATGACTTTCTGACGTGAAATGGGTCTGAGTAGCTGAAAGATAAGTGCAAAAGAAGATCTCGTTGCTGGCAACATCATTTGGCCTTTAGACTGTTCAATTATACTGTTATGTTTCATTCTCTTCCTCAAATGTTTAGGAAATTTATTTGACCTAGAGGATCATGTAGCTGATGCCAAAAATTTGGGATAAATTGTTTGCTGTTGTTGTTGTTGTTGTTGTTGTTGTTATATGACCTAGAGGAGAATACCAAACAAATTGGTTTTGAAGTCGTTCTTGTGTTTATCATTGAGACAAAAACTATGTTACCCGGGTATTTCTATAATGAAGCTGTGCCCGTACCGGACACGTACCCGACACTTTCCCGTACCCAAACTTCATGGACACTTCTTGAATATATGCATGCATTTATTACAACATGTACTCAATTATACAATATATGTGTTAATTTAAAACACTTGTCAAAGACTTCCTGGACGTAGAGCTTACACTTTACATCTGTCTTTTGAAACTAATGAGATACGGGTCGGATTCGTTTCAGTCCATACCCAAGTTTAAAACTATATAGTTAATGGGTCGTTTAGATGTCTAGTAAAAAAAATGAGTAGTTTACAATTCACGATAATCAATATGATAAAAGAAACTAAAAAATGTGATCGGAATTTTAGTTCTAATGACACATGAAGGGGAAAAAATTATCTTATGTACAGCATTAATTCAATATATATATGTAGTCGTGTCCATGTACCCTACATTTTACAGTTTTGCCGCGTCCCGCACCCGCACCTGCACCCGAACCAGTACCCGTGCCCGTTTCCATGCAACTTAGCATAAAAAAGATAAAAGAACTCATTGCCACACTCAATATAGACTTTTATGTCAACGATTTTATATGACTAGTACACTGCATGTGCTTTGCACATGGACATACTTGTATGTTTTAATTTTTTTGCGGAGCAATTAGAATTCTTTGTTAATATATAAAATTATCCAATAACATGGTGTACAAATGATTATATAAATATGATTATTATTTGGACAGTAATTTATTTAAATAATTTTAACATATTAAATATTTATCTAATATGATGACGTATGCTACTTAGTGCAATAACATAACTGTAATTTAGGATAACTATAATAAATTAATATCTTATTCTATAACTATTCTTATTTACAATAATTATGTATAATCATTCTGTAAATTATTTTATTATATTATTACTAAACAGTTAAGAGTTATACTATTTGATAATTATAATTATAGACAATAATTTATTGAGTGGTTATTTTATGCAAATTTATGATCATTAATAAATGATTTATAATAAACTATTACCCATCTTCTAGTGAATAATCAAAGTTTTTGGGAAGGTGAGGAGGTCCAAGTGAATAAGAGATTATGGGTAGTTAATGAAAGAGTAATTAGAGATAATGGGCATAATTGAGGATTATCAAAATTTGAAAGGGCAAAGGAGAGAATCAAAAGTTTTGACACCCCAATCCTCTTTTATAATATGTATAGATATAGATTTTGGGCTTTAACTGTTTCCTCTTTCGTTTTCTTTTGCTCTAAGAAGTCCTTACTATGAACCGTTAATCACTTGAAAATATTGATTCTAAACAATTTTTCTTTGATCTTTGTCAATCTGATCCATAACATACCACAGTTTCCTAACTGCACCATGTAGGAAACTTGTGAAATGAAGTCAGTGACTTCGATTGGAGAAGCTTCACTTGGATGCAACAGTGCTGTTCATATAAATAGCAATATCAATTGTTCTTTTGGGCGCTGCTTGGCGTGCTATGAGATATGGGAAATCAGTAGATGCTTATACATATTGCACCCAGAGTGTTATTTCAAGTTGGCAAAATATCTCCAGAACTTTTTTCTGGTGATACAGCGGAAGATTTACCAGTAGAGTTTATTGTTTTTAACTTTCTTCTCGTTGCTCTTAAGTAGATTCATATAAATAGGTCTAGGAAAATGATGTATGTGTAAGATGGTTGTTACCATTGAAAAATGTGGCGCGTCCATATTAAACGGAAATATTGTCCATCTTCAAGCTCATTGGATGCTGAAAAGTGATCCTTTCTAAGAAATAGCATACAATGAACTGTAATGATGCCCACTCTTTTCTGGCATTTGATCCGTATTAATCTTCTTTTCTTTTGCTCATTCGTGGTTTTTCTAGATGCATATTTGTAGTATATGGGGCTAGACCCTGTCAATTCTTATGAAATATATAGTCAAGCATGTAGACCATTCAGATTTTGGCGATATGCTGCTCTTGAGATCCGTAGACATTCAGATTTTGGCGATATGCTGCTCTCAAGATCCGTAGACCAAGTCTCTTGTGGATCAATAAACATTCAGATTTTGGCGATATGCTGCTCTTGAGATCCGTAGACCAAGTCTCTTGTGGATCAATAAAATCAGACGTTAAACGAGAAAAGACAGCAGGCCAATTTAATCTGGTAAATTTGGCAACAGAGTTGTCCGGAACACGATGATGAGCAGTAATTAAGATCTCACGAGTAGATTTGGACCTAAACTCTGTATTCAAAAGCATTTTCTGTGGTTGTAGGTATATCAAAAACTGGGGGTATGACTAAAAATACTTGCCACGGATCATTTTTTTTAGCATGACATTAGTTTTAGGTGAAAATTTAAGTTCACATATTGTCCATTTTTTTCTTCCCATGTTCACCTATATATTAAATACTTTTTCCAGTATAAGTAATTTCTCTTCCCAAGAAAAGGTAAAGAAAGCAATCTTGTAAACAACTATATCATCATTTTGTACTTTATTTTCATGGCCATTTTCAGTTATAAGGATATCTTTCTGTTTTAGGCTTATTTATTGTTTAGTTCTCTATATTATCTCTTCTTTTCCTTCAGGATACCCGGAGAGGACTGAATTCTGTCAACAGGATTATCAAAGACCGCAATATGACAGGAGTTTTTGGTCCTATTCTGGAATTAATTGATTGTGATGAGAAGTTTTTCACTGCAGTTGAAGTAACTGCTGGAAACAGGTAGCTAAAAATTACTCTGTTAATTTGACACGCACAGCATGCATTTGGCGTGAATTCATTCTTGGCTGATTCTTTAATTTCTTTTACCCTAGCCTATTTCATGTGGTGGTCGAAACAGATGAGATATCAACCATCATAATCAAACAACTTACTACTGAGAAAGGTGGACGTGTCACATTTATACCTCTGAACAGGGTCAAAGCCCCACATATAAACTATCCTCACAATCCAGATGTTGTGCCTCTTCTTAAGAAATTGAACTTCCGCTCTGAGTATGGTCCTGCTTTTCAACAGGTATCTTGTATTTCTGGTGTTATTATGAACTGAATGGTCCTGTAATCTGCTATTAGTTCATATGTTTGGCATATAATCTTTGACTGTTAAATTTTCAGTGATTGAACAATAGCTAATTTGACAATGGTGCCTAAAATTCCGTGGCATTTCATCTTCAAATTGCTCGAATTGTAAACCTGGTCACGTTTAAATTAACTTGTCAGTCATATTTATATCAAATTCACCTCGTTCTCAAATTACTTGAATTGTAAACCTGATAATTACTGAGATGCATTTTCCGTTAGCTACTCTTAACTGCTTTGAAATATTCATATTTTAAGTGCAAGGTGAGCAACATCATGCATATCACCTTCTTTTCTATGTCATAGTTCAGTAATTTCTTCTTAACTTAAGATTAAAGACATTATCCTATTATACCTTAGCTAGGATCAAGTTATTGAATTAAACCCAAGCTTTAAGAAGAGAAAATGTTTAACAGTTTTCATGGTTGACTATTAACTATATTGATTATTTATTATTTACTGAAAAATCGAAGAAATGAATCATTCTTTAACATTAAGAGGAACAGAAAAAACTTCAATGCCTATAGCATTTCATGTTTAGTCATATCATTTTGTTATACATTTGACTACGCTCATAAGGAAATGAAATGCAAGTGAGAAACGAAACTGTTGGTAGCAAGAACCCCTTATTGTCGCTCCTTGCGTTGTCACTGCCAACAAGAAGTGAAAAGGTTGGCATATTACATTTTAGTAAGGGGTTTTCTTAATAAGAAATTTATGTGCAGATTCACATACGTAGTATTTTATCTGTGTCTGGGTACTTCATTTCTTGTTTATCCATTGGATTCCTGTTTATCCATTGAAGTCTGGTATTTTTTATCAGGTATTTGGAAGAACAGTGATATGTCGGGACTTGGATGTAGCTACAAATGTTGCTCGATCAAATAGTCTCGATTGTATCACCTTGGATGGTTTGTTCTAAAATGAACTCTTTCGTTGTACCATTTCATTTATTATTTTTTTTGTTTTAAATGGATCCTCACCTCTATTCATGCATGTTAGGCGACCAAGTTAGCAAGAAAGGTGGTATGACAGGGGGATTTTATGATTTCCGACGCTCCAAGCTTAAATTTGTGAACGTAATTAGGCAGTGTAAAATGTCTATACACTCGAAAACAGCTGAGCTGGATGATATTGGAAACAGACTCAAAGATATCCTTTCGAAGTTCCCACCCTTTTCCTTTATGTACTTAAGTTTAACACTAATGTTAAATAATTTGTCAGTTTGGTAGTTTACTATTACTGTCTTTATTCCATATGAATGGGCACATGTTTTAGCATGTTCTGGAATGAAAATAGTAGCTAGATTTGGTTTTTCCTTCAGGAGGGAGTTCATTATAAATTTCTAAGAAACGTGTCATTAATGCAGATTAAACATCACTTTGTGCAGTTTATTACCTATCTTTACGACACGTCTCTTTAACATATTTTCTTTCCTTTGTTTCTGCACCTTGTATTACACATGTCTGTGTACATTTCTCTTCTCCCTTTTCACTTGAGGATATTTGCCTGTGTTTCGGTTAGGGGATGGGGAGGTTGCAGATTAAAGTGTCTTTTCAGATGCTCGACATTGAGAAAGAGGAGTGTGAACTCTTACATATCTGTTTGGCAAGTTGACTCAGATTTTGGATTTCTCAATCATGTTCTCTCACTGTGGATGAACATGACGCTAATAGGTCAAGTTCTGGCTAAGTCTTACCTTTAGCTTCTCATCTATTTGTCACTGGGTTGAGGGTTGGAGGCGAGTCCTAAAGATTTTTGTCTTGGCGATTCATTTATGGCTGTTTTTCTTTCAAGTGTACCAAGACAAATGCCTTTTGACATGTTATATCTGGTTGTTTAGAGTGCAAATTCCATCAGAGATGCTCCCTTCTTCTGAGCCCTTCTGAGGGAGTTAGGGGGGTAGATTGGAGATTATTGTATGGCTCAGACAACCAGCCTGCACGTGGGGTGTTCCAATAGTAACTGTGTTTGGTTTACCTGCATACATATGCGTGCATGTGAGCAAGTGCGTGCGTTCTAGTGCTCAGGTGCACAGAGTAGTTACCTTATGTGCTTGTTAGAGTTCAGTAAATATCCAATTTGATAGTTTCTTTGTTATCCTTTGTTAATTTCATTTCATGGCAGCGTTCTATACAGATTTCATTAACTTTCCATACAGATAGACCAGCAAATTACGAGATTAGTTAGTGAACAGCAGAAAATGGATGGTCAACGTGGACATGCCAAGTCAGAGATTGAGCAATTTAAACATGATATCGCTAATGCTACTAAACAAAAGGCATCGATTTTTAAAGCCCTAGAAAAAAAGGTGCTCACTTGAGTTCTCCTATAAATCTTACTTGTAAGATTTGTATAAGCTACTCATTGTGTATATCTGTAGTTTTGTTAAAATGCATTTCATTTGCTTGCAGGAAAAATTGCTGGCAAATGCCCACAACCAGATAGATCAGATTCGAGCTGGAATTGCAATGAAGCAAGCGGAAATGGGAACAGATCTTATTGATCAACTCACGCTACAGGAGAAAGATCTCCTTTCAAGACTCAATCCTGAGATAACCGAGTTGAAAGAAAAATTTCTTGCTTGCAAAACAAATAGAATAGAGGTATATAATTTTACTGGTGTTTGTTTCAGTGTTACTATATTGGGGTACCCTGTAGTTGATATGCATTCTGCAATTTCTTAAAATTTACAGATTGAAACTAGAAAAGAAGAGTTGGAGACTAATCTATCGACAAACCTTGTTAAACGACAACAAGAGTTGGAAATTATAATTTCATCTGCTAATTCTGACAACTCGTCGCTGGAAGCTGATATGAAAAAGCAGGAACTGAATGAAGCTAAAGCAACCGTCAATGAATTGACTCAGCAACTCAAAGGTGTATTCTTCTTTACTTAATTACTACTACTGTTTAACCTGTTCAAAAATGTATGATTCCTCTTGCTGAACTCAAAGTTGTTCGCTCTGCAGGAGTTCTGGAAAACATAGATAACCTCACAAAGGAAACTAGAAAGATCAAAGCTTCCAAAGAAAAGTTAAAGGTGTGAACTATAAACCAAAAGATTTGAACCAATTTTAATTATGTTGTGTTGTATCTGATTATTATTTCTCTTGCAGACACTTGAAGAGGACTATGAACGTACACTCCAAGATGAAGCAAAAGATCTAGAACAACTGTTGAACAAAAGGAACATTCTTCTTTCTAAACAAGAGGATTGCATGAAAAAAATCCGGGATTTGGGTTCACTGCCATCTGATGCTTTTGACACGTAATATTCTTTGAATATTTTCAACAGTACTGTAGGTTTGGCTAATGCTTATATTTAGATGTTAATTCCACATCAACGTTATAAAAAAATCACTCATGAAATTTCAAGCGTTTCTTTTATTCACGTAAAGACTATTTATTTTATCTTCCATTACACTATGCATGTTTCAGTAGTGTCAATATTTTTAATAACTTTCCACCATTAAGAAGTAGGTCTTTGAACTTCCTGTCCCATGTGGACCGTTCTTTCTAGAACCTTTCTCCACTTGATGGGAAAATTTGCTATTCAACTTATTGTTATCCCATGAATGCATGGCCCCAAGGGATATTTGTTTTGTTAATGTTTGTGAACCTTTTCCACCTGCAAAAATGAAGATATGGAGTTCTCTTTCATTTCTGCTTCTGAGCTCATCTGTAGTAAATATAGTATGTTATGGACTTGGGATGCTTATTGTTAGTCATCACCACTATTAATACTGGAAAAAGTGAGTTTTTTTTGGGGTTGGGGGGGGGGTAGGGGTGTGTGTGTTTGAAATTTAGAAAATGTTTACAGAGACGAATTAAGATGGTCTTATATGTCAATTCTGCAGGATCTTATGTCATTTTTATATCATATAGATAATACAGTAATATCTCGTTTCAGTTTCTGTACCACATAACAGTAACTACTGTAATGTTGAGGATATAATCTATGATAACTGCAATACTACATTTTGTGTTTCTTGCCAAAGAATCTTCATTTTATCATTTCTTGTATGTATTTGCTACCCTGACTTAGCTGTTGTATATCAAGAAAAATTGTATTATATGACGTGATTTTCCAGTATAATTAATTTTTTTGCTGATAAATTTGGCTAGCTTCTATTGTTCTTAGTATTTGCTCCTAGGTAGTACCTTGTCTTCTGATGCCTATAACAGAAGATAAAGAGGGACAATGTTAATCATATTGTTTTGACTTGCTTCTACCCCTTTACTGGGTTTATTGAAGGGTGATCATCCTAGAATAAGCATCAAGTTCTGTATAGATTACAAAAATCTTTAGCTATCTGTAACAACATTGATGTTATTTGTCTTGTAAACTTCTGCATTGTAGCATCATGGAGACAAGGATATTCAAAATAGTGGAGCCCTGATGCGAAACTTGTAAAATATATGGGGTGACGTTTAGTGGTTTCTCTTCCTATTGGATTTCAAATTTTATGCAGAAGGAAGATACTAATTTTTATCTCTTCTGTAACATACTTGCAGTGTCTCATTAGTATTTTTTCTTCCATGGAGTTTTTTTTCTCTAGTTTCTTGTTATCGCATATTTATTTTCTTTTTAATTAACTATCTCCACCACTATCAAGCTCCTTTCCCAATCCTTTTGGGTGTGATTCAGTACAAATCCTTTTTCAGTTCTGTTGTTAAGGGCGAAGTCTCTTATTCAGGAGCCACCATTGTTTCTTACTGCCTCAGTTCATATTTCTTTTACACTGTTGTCAGAGACATTCACTCAACTACTTCTCGTTCTATGTGGTTCACTCGCCAATCTCTGTTGTAGCCAAGCCACCTTAAACGATTCTCCACATTTTATCCTCGAAGAAAGTTAGACTTAGTACAATCTCATTTCACTCACCGCACTTCCACTGACGTGTTGCCATATTTGAACAGTCTACTCCATAGAGCTTGTCTTATTGCCTGGCTACATGTAAAACTTGCCCTCTTCAAATTCAATGTGTTACATATCAAAATTTTGATAATCAATGTGATCGTCAGCTGGAAACTTCCAGTTGATCCGTTTAAGTTGATAAAAACCAAGGGAAATAATTTATAGAGAAATATTCATTTTGATGATTAACAAGAACTTAGCTCATATTGTGGCTCATCCAGCAAAGGATAAGGACTATTAATAGATGTGATTCACCTGTTCTTGAATGCATAACAACAGAGAGGTTAATACATTGTACATATTTTAACTCCAGCAAATGTTTCAGACATCATACAGGGTGAAACATAAGTAGTACATAGTTAACATTCTTAACAAGTAGTTTTATGGTTTCATGTTCAATGAACATGAAATTATGACGGAAAGAATATTATAGGAGCTACAATCATTATAATTGCAGAGTTAAAGCAAAAAAATAAGTCCGAATGCTTTTTGTGAAAATGTTGACAAATGCAGAGTTGATTAAACTGTCATAATAATAAATGACTATTCTTTATTTGTTATTTTGAAATGATGTTGAAGCAAGGGAAACCAAGGATCTACACTTTAAAGTAACTTGTCAAACCTTTTAGCTAACAGATCCATCCCCCTATCACTGCAGCTGCAGCTTGTAAATAATTTTTATAATGTTTGTCATGCCATCAATTCTTGCAATTTATGTTTGAGATGGGTATTAAATGCTAAAGGTATAAGAGGAAAGGCATGAAAGAATTACAAAAGATGCTGCATAAGTGCAATGAGCAGCTACAGCAATTTAGCCATGTCAACAAAAAGGCTCTTGATCAGTATATGAACTTCACGGAGCAACGAGAACAATTGCAGAAAAGACGAGCTGAACTTGATGCTGGGGATCAGGTACTACTCTCTATCCAACATCATGTGCAAACCTACAAAATGATGTTATTTGTTACCAGCAGGTACAGAGTTTGACTACATTGTATGGTGCAGAAAATTAAAGAACTCATTTCAGTTCTGGACCAGCGAAAAGATGAGTCCATTGAGCGCACATTTAAAGGTGTTGCAAGGCATTTCCGGGAAGTATTTTCGGAGCTTGTGCAAGGTGGCCATGGTTACTTGGTTATGATGAAAAAAAAGGTCTGTTATTCTTTAGTATATAGTGAGTCAGATTTTCCTAAATCTGTTTGTATATTACAGCTGGAAAATCATATATTGAGATGCTTAAGTGACTAGTCATTGGCTAAGCTATTGCCATAACCTTGTTTACTTCACATGCAATTCCTTTTCTTAACTCAAGTTTATCTGTAACAAGAAGAACATTTTTCTGTTTGTCTGTATTGATGCGTGCACGGGCGACACATTCATTCCTGCACATGCCATGTGCCATTGAGCCTGGCTGAACATGTTTGATTTTAGTTGGATAGTGCCATTGAGCCTGGCTGAACATGTTTGATTTTAGTTGGATAAATTGGTTGTATTACTGAATTTTCCACGTATGTTTTCTGTTTATCTTCTAACGTTAGAGTAACTGCTGTGAAGGATGGTGATCGTGGTGATGATGATCTTGATGAGGATGGGCCTCGTGATCCAGATCCAGAGGGAAGAGTTGAAAAATACATTGGGGTTAAAGTGAAGGCATGTTTTCCCCCTTATTATTAAAATAGAACTGTTTTTTAGTTGATGAAGCATTCCTCTTCCTTATATTGAATTTTGTTGTTTACAATTGTCAGAGAGTAAGAGTAATGTTTCAAATTCCTTTAGGATCATAGATGTGCCATTTGTATTTGCAGCCTGTTAGAATAATATTGTTTAGACTCTCTCCTTCAAACCTAAATTCTCTAAATATGTTCCTAATAATCAATTTCACCCATAATCTTACAGAAGTGAATTGATGCCCCAGTTCGCCTACTTAATATGGATATCTGTGCCAAAAATTGTCCTTTGCTGATTTTCCATTTGTTCCAAATTAAAAAGTTTTTTTTTAGAAACTACCTTAAAAAATAAGGTAATTATGCGGAAATTACCTTTCAATATCAATTTATCCATAAACTACCTTTAAAATGGGTTTATGTTGCAACCAGCTGCCTCTCAGTCAAATTTTACCCTAAGACCCCAAAAATACCCTTCAAAAACTCACAGTCCGGGCACGTGACTCATTTCATTAATGTTTAGGTCTTAATAGGATACAACTCACGTCCCTTGAAGCCAATTTTTAAAACTAATTTTTTGTGTGAAAATTTGACTTGGGGGTGGTTGATTGCGACAGAATACCACTTTCAATGTGGTTTATGTATAAATTGAAAATGAAAGGTGGTTTTTGTGTAATTACTTTGTTTTAAAGGTGGTTTCTAGGGGGAAAAATCCAATTAAATATGACTATTGTCCAGCCAATTCTCAGAAGTGCTGCGTGTTGGTTAGAAGATTGGATGGATCAGCTAGCCAAAAAAAAAAACAGTTTTAAATAGTGATATTAGCAGAACAAATGCTTAAGTCTATCCAATCTGATCAAAACTCATTATTCAAGTTATATGAAAAAATGTGTCCAAAAACCTATGTGAAGTACCTGTTTATAAAGTAGTCATGTTAAAAGTATATCATTAATTAATATCTTTTCAAAGAAATCAAAGTGCTTCACATTGAATATTTGACATATCCATAAAAAAATATAAATGTCTTCAAGAAAATTCATTGTGAATAATATATTTGACCACATTTTTTTCCCTTTACCAGACAGAATCTTTTCCACCCCCTATTAGTGGTTTCAACCTATATGAAATTCCTGGCTTTCGACCCATTTTAGTTTTGCTTTATATTGTGAATAAAAAGGAATGTGATTCAGTTACAATGATTTATGTGATGCCTTTGATGAATTTGACACCCTGAAGCAAACTATCCTGTCTGGACTTTTTCAAAGCTCCATTGTTGCAGGAGCTTGACCTGCATGATTAAAAATGTATATTCACATGACCTCAACTTCACTTTTAAGGGTATGATTAGGCCCGTCTCATTCTTATTGTATCCTTTGTCAAGAAATTGTGACCAATTCATAAGTTTGATGACTGTTTGTAAAAGTTGTGAATTGACTATAGGTGCAATTTGCTGGCCTTCCTGCTTGCTGGCTCCATTTTGATGCAAACATTGCAGAAAATGGCTAATAGTTACATAGGTAATGTCAAAGTGACTTTGTTCGCTGGACTTATTACTATGGTTGTTTCTGCTGGCAGAATCATGCCTCACACCATCTAATTCAATAACCCACACCATTCATCACAGCTGTGCACCTTAAAAAACATATCCTTTCTGTCACAGGAACTTGGATGACTTATTTTTCGTATTAGAACCACTTAGATTACTTCTTAAACAAGTTTCATAACACATGAAAACTTGAGGTGTTATGAGGGCATACGGGTAATGTTATAACATTTGTGCCTTTTCTGATAGATGGCATCTTGCTGTCTTGTCTATATTTTTTCTTAAATAGTTTTTTGAAGTTGCATCGTATTTTGCTTACACTTGATAATCTTGTTATTTCTTTTTTGCTAGGTTTCTTTTACTGGCCAAGGTGAAACCCAATCAATGAAACAGCTATCTGGTGGCCAGAAAACTGTAGTAGCATTGACACTAATATTTGCCATACAACGATGTGATCCTGCTCCATTTTATCTGTTTGATGAGATTGATGCCGCGCTAGATCCTCAATACAGGACTGCTGTTGGAAGTATCCAGTCATTTCTATATTGTGCACCCATTCACACACGCACACACACACACACACGCACAATGTCCCTCACTACTATATATCATTAGTTATGTTACTTAATTCACGGGCGATCATCCTCTTTATATTAGTTGTGCAAATACACATGATTTAAGGGGAATATCTACAAAAAAAACCCAAATAAATCTCACATATGA